GTTGCGTGTGAACATGTGCACATGTGCGCACCTACCAAGTAGGTGCGGGTCGACGGTCGCGCCGCTAGGCACATTGTGCAGGTGCTAGGTAGAACACGTGCCGATGGTTGTAACAAATGCTCACCGTCGAGCGCGGAATACCATTAGGGATGAGCAAAGGGCGAACACGAACGTGTTCGTGTTTGCCCCTTCACGAACACTGCCTTTTGCCGAACCGAACACTGTTCGGTTCGCCGAACGACTTCCCCAAAAAAAGGTGTTCGCAGTTCGCCTTTGAAGGCGTGTTCGGGCGAACCTCGAACACGTTCGTGTTCGACACGGGGCGTTCTGCACCAGCGCCACGAACACGAACGTGTTCGGGCGAACATCGAACAATGTTCGGCGAACAATTTAAGCTAAAAAACAGAACCTGTTCGGTTCGCCTCGAACATGTTCGAGGCGAACCGAACAGGTGTTCGTTTCTTTGCTCATCCCTAAATACCACCCCACAGGTTTCGCCAAGCCCTCCTGTCAGAAATTCGCACACCTGCGGATCTTCGTGTCTTAGCAGATTCGGTTGACCAGCTGGACGTCGTCCTGTCGAGCACCGTTCGCCGAGACACGCTCGTTGACGGGCTTGTCGACGGCCGTTGTCGTCGACCAGCGACCTCCTTCAACGACGTCGACCGCACCCCGTCGAGCGGGGTCTTTTCGATCGACCGTCGACCAACGAAATCCCGCTTGGCGACTATTTCGTTGAGTTCTCGTTGACGGCGAGATCGGTGCGCCCAAGCGAGGTCAGAGCCATTCTCTTCAACAGGGCCGAATGGGTCAGGTCGGGTATAGGAAACCCGCTTTCACCCGCGCTTTGTGCAGATCGAACATTTCAGCCGCCAATCTGCGCAGGTCGGCGATTCCGCCTGCCGATAAGTGCAAATGGACGATTTTGTTGGCGTAGCAGTGTACATCACCAATTTCACTGGTCGATCCGGAGATTGGGATTTTTTGCCTGCAATCTACTAAGCCTCGGCACTCGTTTCCAACAAACGTGTTGGAACAAACAATTGAACCAATCTGCCAGTGCTCGCCACTCTTTACCGCACTGAACCTACAATTCCCAAATCCCCCTCTCAATCTTTACAGATCACACGACATTGAGTATCTGCACATATTTGAATACTTGTAGGCATGAGCAGGGGGCTAACTCGAACATGTTCGCGTTCGCCCCCTGACCAACATGGCCTTCTGCCGAACCGAACAGTGTTCGGTTCGGCGAACGACTTGAGTGAAAATAGGTGTTCGCCGTTCGCCCTAGGAGGCAAACGAATTGCTGCAACAGGCGAACACGAACATGTTCGTGGCGAACATGTTCGTGTTCGCCCAGGTGGAAATTCAATATAGAGTAATATTCAAATCGTTGCACATTCCCTCCCCCCACCTCCCAAGCCAGTCCCGCCCTGCTTCATCCATCTAGTGCCAGCGTGCAACGGCGAAATGCTAGATCCGCATTTAAGCAACGGCGAAATGCTAGATCCGCACTTAAGCAACGGCGAAATGCGAGATCCGCACTTAAGCAACGGCGAAATGCTAGATCTGCACTTACGCAACGGCAAAATGCTAGATCTGCACTTAAGCAATGGCGAAATGCTAGATCCGCTAGGGATGAGCAAATGGCGAACACGAACATGTTCGTGTTCGCCTGGGCTCGAACATGGCTGTTTGGCGAACCGAACACTGTTCGGTTCGCCGAACACTTTACACCAGAAAGGGTGTTCGAAGTTCGCCAAGAGAGGCGAACATTTCGTACGTTTTGGCGAACACGAACACGTTCGCCCAGAACATGTTCGCGTTCGCCTTAAAGGACCTTCTCAGATCCAAGTAGAGTGAAATCCAAATGTTTCACATTCCCTCCCCCCACCCCGCAAGCCAGTCCCGCCCTGCTAGAACCGCCCATGCTAGATCTACGCTTAAGCAACGGCGAAATGCTAGATCTACGCTTAAGCAACGGCGAAATGCTAGATCTGAGCTTAAGCAACGGCGAAATGCTAGATCTGAGCTTAAGCAACGGCGAAATGCTTGATCCGCACTTAAGCAACAGCGAATGCTAGATCTACGCTTAAGCAACGGCGAAATGCTAGATCTACGCTTAAGCAACGGCGAAATGCTAGATATACGCTTAAGCAACGGCGAAATGCTAGATCTGAGCTTAAGCAACGGCGAAATGCCTTGATCCGCACTTAAGCAACGGCAAAAGGCCTTGATCCGCACTTAAGCAACGGCAAAAGGCCTTGATCTGAGCCCAAACACCAAGGCCCGCGCCCTAAAAATTGGTCGCGGGCCTATTCGTCAACGAACACATTGGCGTTCGTCGAAGGCCCGTGTCGATCACGAACACGTTCGTGTTCGTCGCGCCTCGGCCAACTGAGCCGGGCGAACGGCGAACGTGTTCGGGCGAACACCGAACACGTTCGCCCCGAACAAATTAGGCCAAAAAAAAATCATTCGAGGCGAACCGAACAGGTGTTCGTCATATTGCTCATCCCTAAGATCCGCACTCAAGCAACGGCGAAATGCTGGATCTGCACTTAAGCAACGGCGAAATGCTAGATCCGCACTTAAGCAACGGCGAAATGCTCGATCTGCACTTAAGCAACGGCGAAATGCTCGATCCGCACCGAAATGCTATATCTGCACTTTACAAACTGCGAACGGCCAGATCTGAGCTCAAACACCAAGGCCCGCGACCTAAAAATTGGTGGCGGGCCTATTCGTCGACGAACACATTGGTGTTCGTCGAAGGCCTGTGTCGAACACAAACACGTTTGTGTTCGACGCGCCTCGGCGAGCTGAGCCAGGCGAACGGCGAACGTGTTCGGGCGAACACCGAACACGTTCGCCCCAAACAATTTAGGCCAAAAAAAAATCCTGTTCGTTCGAGGCGAAGGAGTTCGTCATATCATCCCTAAATACTTGCATAAGAACTAAGGGGCCGAAGGATAGAATTATGTTGCGGGAATGATGTCGAGGGGAAAAACTTCCCCTCGACAATGACTTAAGGGTTTTCCCTAGTGTCGAAACCGGGTCGGGTCAAAGCTCGACACGGTTACCCTGTTGTTGACCTGATTCCGGGTCGGGTCACAGTTGGTTTGAAACCCGACCCGACCCGAAATTCAACATCAAGTCAGGGTTTTTTCCGGCCGAACCGACTTGACCCGGCCAGGCCAGGACATTGAAACTCCTTAACCAACCCGATCAAAATCCCTTGTCAGGTTCATGCCTAACTTGACCCGGCCAGGCCAGGACATTGAAACCCCTAAACGAACACCTTCGTTTTCTGAACCGAACACTGTTCGGTTCGGCGAACACTTTGAGCAAAAAATGGTGTTCGCCGTTCGCCTGTGAAGGCGTGCTCGGGCGAACCTCGAACACTGTTCGTGTTCGTCGCGGGCAAATTGCAGCAGCGGCCCGAACACGAACATCGAACACTGTTCGGCGAACATTTTAAGCCAATAAAAAATACCTGTTGTTTGAGGCGAGCCGAACAGGTGTTCGTGTTTTTGCTCAACCCTAGCCTAACTTATAGGGTCAGGCCAGCTGTGACCCGAGGGCGGGTCGATCAGTCTGATGGCGAATCGGGACGACTGACCCCCAACTTAACTCAAATTTCTGGTGCATCACTGATTTTGCCGGCCAATCCGCGCGCATTGGCGATTGACCGTTGATCTGCTCGGACCAGCGATATCGCCCTAAGTTGGAATATACGCAAGCGTTAATCTGCTAGCATATAAGCGTTATTCTGCTAGCGTATATACGCAGTGAATACGCAGACCCGCGCACATTTGTTTTTTTTTTTTTTTTTTTTTTTCGTCGGGCAGTTTGCTAGCTTCAGAGCAGCGGATGGGTGAGCTGCAAAGCGCGAAGTTGGTGGCCAAAGTCTAGTCGTACTTAGGGATGAGTTCGTGTTCGCCTGGGCTCGAACATGGCTGTTTGGCGAACCGAACACTGTTCGGTTCGCCGAACACTTTACACCAGAAAGGGTGTTCGAAGTTCGCCAAGAGAGGCGAACATTTCGTACGTTTTGGCGAACACGAACACGTTCGCCCAGAACATGTTCGCGTTCGCCTTAAAGGACCTTCTCAGATCCAAGTAGAGTGAAATCCAAATGTTTCACATTCCCTCCCCCCACCCTGCAAGCCAGTCCCGCCGTGCTAGAACCGCCCATGCTAGATCTACGCTTAAGCAACGGCGAAATGCTAGATCTGAGCTTAAGCAACGGCGAAATGCTAGATCTGAGCTTAAGCAACGGCGAAATGCTTGATCCGCACTTAAGCAACAGCGAATGCTAGATCTACGCTTAAGCAACGGCGAAATGCTAGATCTACGCTTAAGCAACGGCGAAATGCTAGATATACGCTTAAGCAACGGCGAAATGCTAGATCTGAGCTTAAGCAACGGCGAAATGCCTTGATCCGCACTTAAGCAACGACAAAAGGCCTTGATCCGCACTTAAGCAGCGGCAAAAGGCCTTGATCTGAGCCCAAACACCAAGGCCCGCGCCCTAAAAATTGGTCGCGGGCCTATTCGTCGATGAACACATTGGCGTTCGTCGAAGGCCCGTGTCGATCACGAACACGTTCGTGTTCGTCGCGCCTCGGCCAGCTGAGCCGGGCGAACGGCGAACGTGTTCGGGCGAACACCGAACACGTTCGCCCCGAACAATTTATGTTAAAATACATTGTGTAGCATGCCAACACATGTGACTGTACACCAATTGTGGTGTACAGTTGGGTTGGGACTACACCCAACTTTGGGTGTAGTCTTGCACTTTGGGGTGCCAATCCACCCAATTGTGGTGGAGCCCCCAAATGCAACCCTCTTGACTTGTGGGTACCTCACTTCCCACAATTGAGGCTTCCCCAAGCCAAGTGGGCCTAGGGTTGCCTCACTTCTACAAAGTGTGGGCAACCCAACCCACTTGACCAATGGTTCCCTCACTTCCCAAAGTGAGGTCAACCCAACCTATGGTCACTTTGATCCTTCTCTTCCACTCTCCCCTTCCAACCTTCTCTTCCAAACTATGTATGCTAGGTTGTGACTCTAATTCAATGACTTGTTCAATCCACAATCTTCACATGGTATAGAGCTAGTTGTTCCTAAGCCTTTTTTTTCCCTCCCTCCAAGTCTTCTTTTTTCCCATGGGCCCACCCTACAGCCACAAACCTCCTACGTGTGGCTCAACCTAGCACCTCCGTGGCACGACCTACACCGTCGCCACTCTTCCCTCCCTCCGCCGTGATTGCGCCCTCCTCGCCTGCGGATCCCACCGCCGCGAGTGCATCACCGCCCCTCCCCCCCTTCTTCCGCCGCCGCGCCTTCTCTGGCGCCGCCTGCGCATCCCGCCGCGACGCCTCGTCGTCGCCTCCTCCTCCCCCTGCCGCGACCCCCCGTCGCCGTCTCCCTCCCGCCGCCGCGCCTACTTCGGCGTCGCCCGCGCATCCCTCCGCCACGGCACCCCTTCGTCGCCTTCCCCTCCCACTGCCACGAAGTCGCGTCGCCGCCCCCCCCCCCCCTACCGCCGCCGCGCCTTCCTCGGCGCCGCCTGCGCATCCCACCGTCGCGACGCCTCGTCGTCGCCTCCCCCTACCGCCGCCGCGCCTTCCTCGGCGCCGCCTGCGCATCCCGCCGTCGCGACGCCTCGTCGCTGCCCCCCCCCCCCTACCGCCGCCGCGCCTTCCTCGGCGCCGCCTGCGCATCCCACCGTCGCGACGCCTCGTCGCCGCCTCCCCCTACCGCCGCCGCGCTTTCCTCGGCGCCGCCTGCGCATCCCGCCGTCGCGACGCCTCGTCGCCGCCTCCCCCTACCGCCGCCGCGCCTTCCTCGGCGCCGCCGGCGCATCCCGCCGTCGCGACGCCTCGTCGCCGCCTCCCCCTACCGCCGCCGCGCCTTCCTCGGCGCCGCCTGCGCATCCCGCCGTCGCGACGCCCCGTCGTCGCCTCCCGTCCCGCCGCTGCGACTTCGCGTCGCCGCCTGCGCTCCCCATCGCCGCGACCCCCCCCCCCCCCCCCCCCCCCCCGTCGCCGCCTACGCATCCCGCCCCCGCGACCCGCTCGTCGCCGCCTACACGATCCGCCGCCGCGACTTCGCGTCGTCGCCTACGCATCCCGCCGCCGCGACCTTCTCGTCGCCGCCTGCACGACCCGCCGCCGCGACTTCGCGTCGCCGCCTGCACATCTCGTCGCCGCCCGCCCATCTCGTCTCCGCGACCTAAAAATCACCGCCCCCGCATCTTACCTCCGCGCCTTCCTCGTCGCCGCCCACACATCCTGCCACTACGCCCTCCCCGTCGCCGCTCGCTCATTCCGCCGCCACGACTCCCTCGTCGCCACCCGCGCATCCCGCCACCGCGCCTTCCTCGTAGCAGCCGCCTCATCCCTCAGCAGCGGCATCACTGGCAGCAACAGCCCCGCCCACACCACACCTACACCTGCATTCTCCTTCCCACTCCCCCCCCCCCCCCGTTTTTTTTCCCCCCCCCCCTCTCCTCCCACGCCGCAGCAGCCGGGCCACCTCAGCAGCCACAGCAGCGGCAGCGGCAGCAGCAGCAGCAGCAGCGGCAGCAGCGGCAGCAGCGGCAGCAGCGGCAGCAGCGGCGGCAGCAGCGGCAGCAGCGCAGCAGCGGCAGCAGCGGCAGTGGCGGCACCAGCTGCATTCCTCCTCTCCCTCTCCCTCCTCTCCTCCCCCTACAAAGCAGCAGCGACAGCAACGGCAGCTGCAGCAACAGCAGCAACGGCAGCAGCGGCAGCAGCGGCATCGGCAGCAGCAGCAGCGGCAGCAGCGCAGCAGCGGCAGCGGCAGCAGCAGCAGCAGCGGCAGCAGCTGCAGCAGCGGCAGCAACGGCGGCAGCAGCAGCAGCAGCACAGCAGCGGCAGCAGTGGCAGTGGCGGCACCAGCTGCATTCCTCCTCTCCCTCCCCCCTCCTCCCCTCCCCCCCCCCCCCCTCCCTCCTCCCTCAGCAGCGGCAGCAGCGGCAGCACCAGCAGCAGCGGCAGCAGCAGCAGCAGCAGCCGAAGCAGACCTCCACTCCCCGCAGCAGCACCCCCCCCCCCCCCCCCCCCTCCCCCTTCCCCCCGCCCTCCTCCCTCTCGGCTGCCGCGCGCATCCACCCGCCGTCGCCCTCCCCCCTTAACCGCCGCGGGTCCACCCGCCGCCGTTCACCTCTAGGCCGCCGCGGGTCCACCCGCCGTCGCCCCTCATGGCCACCACTCCTCCCCCTCTCCCCCCTCCCATTGACGCCTCCTCCGTCGACAAGCTTCAACTTGCCGCGGACCGCTCGGCGATCAACTGGCATTCCTTCGTCGGGAGCATCCGCCGTGTTCTCCAAGATGCATTCGTCGGACCCTACTGCGTCATCGACATCCTCCTCCGCCGCCCGCAAGCCCTCCAGCCCACGGCACCCATTCACCCCGGCGAACCCCCTCCACCCCCCATTCCTCCTGGTCCTCCTCCTACTGAACCCACCTTGGAAATCGCCACTACCCCGGCGCTCCAAGATGCCGCCGATGCCGCATTTCTCCACGATCGCCGCGAATACCTCATCCGCAAGGCGGAGTATGAGGTTGCGGTACATAACCACGACTTCGCGGTAGCGGAACGCGCCAATCGCCTGGCGCTCCTTGATGAGTACAATACGGCCATGGTGGACTACCTCCCTCGGAGCATCGCATGGGCCACTGCTGATAACCGCGCCTGCACCGTCCTCCTTGGCGCACTCCCTGGTACCCTTATGCGCCGTTTCCAAGCTCGCGAGATGCGCGCCTCCCTCATCTGGACCGAGCTCCAGGCGATGTTCGAGCGTCGCGACACCAGCTCTGTCGGCGCCCTGTTCCAAGAGTACTTCTCCATCACCCTCGCCACCTGTGATGGCGCAGTTGACTATGTGGGGCGCATGCAGGAGGTCGCTGATCGCCTTGCGGCACGCCAAGCTGCCCTCCCCGAGCCCCTGCAAATCCACCGCCTCCTCTACAACCTCACCCCGGACTACGAGTCCCGCCTCCATGCCTTCACTGAGGCCAACCCAATGGCCGGCCTCGATGACGTAGTCCAGTGGATCATTGACACGGAGGTCAAGCTCCGTACCCCCGTTGTCAACCTTACCACCCCTCAGTCCTCCTCCTCCACCTCCCTCAACACTACGCAGCCGCGCAACCAGGGTGGTCGCAGCGGCGGCGGCGGAGGCCGTGGAGCGGGTGGCGGTGGTGGTGGTGGAGGCCGTGGTGGTGGCGGTGGTGGTAGTGGTGGCCGTGGTGGCCGTGGTGCCGGTGGAGGTGGTGCTGGCAGCACCCCTGGTGGAGGACCCTCCGGTTCTGGTGGTGCTGTGACTCGAGGCGGACGCCCTGGCACTCTCCCCCCATGCACATATGTGCGCCGCCATGGTCCCCATGCTGGTACCCCTTGCGGCCAGACCAACCATCCTCCCACCACGTGCTTTAAGGCACTTGACGATGCCTGGTTTGATCGAGGCAACACTGGCACCCCTCCTCGCTGGAACTCGGTCTCACCTCGCCCCTCCTTAGTGGATATTCAAACCCTCCCCTCTTTCCTCCCTGCTCACCTCCGCATGGTTACCCCCTCCCCACCCTCCCAACTGCAGCAGTTCCAGCAGCACCAGCAACAGCAACACCTGTACTTCCACCAGCAGCAGCAGCCGCAGTTTCTGCAGCCCCAGCAGCCGCCGCCGCCGCAGTTCTTCCAGCCACCGCCGCAGCAGCAGCAGCAGTTCCTTCCCCCACCCTGGCAGCAGCAGCCACTCACCTTCGGCACGGCGGCCATGGCCGCTCATACCTCCCTTCCTCCTCCTCCCCGCTGGGGTTCCCTCCCCTCCCCCCCCCCCAAGTGTTCCCGACTCTTCCGGTAGTTTCCTCGGTAATATCAGTGTTGCACCGTCTGTCGCTGCCATGTATCCCTCTGCTATCAATGAGACTTCGTTTCAGTATCCCGTCCCACCCCCTCCTCCCTCTTCTCCCACCCTGGACTTTGTCCTTGACAGTGGAGCCACTGAAACCGCACTGAAAGATGCTGGCACTCTCACCCCACTACCACTTCCCACTCAGGTTCATGGAGCTGATTCCAGCTTTTCCATTCCATGCACTCACCTTTCCACCCTCCCTTGCTCTGCCTTCCCCTCCGGTAAGGTCACAGGTCTCCACATCCCCACTCTCCGCAACAACCTCCTCTCCCACCGTGAGCTCCAAGGTGTTGGTATCACTGCCATTTACCCCGGTTATGCCAATTACTGTGATCTCTACCAGACCTCCTCCGGTCGCTTCCTTCTCCGTATTCCGCTTTGCCCCCGCACTCGCCTCTACACACTCCGCACACCTCGCACATCTTTTTGCCACGTCACCACTCGTGCCGGTGCTTCCACCGGTCCACGTCCTCCTCCTTTACTCCCCCCTTCCCCTCCCACTCAAGTACCCTCTTCTCCCTCCCCACCATCCTCCTTCTCCCCTCCCGTTCCTTCCTTTACCCCATCTCCCTCCTCCTCCGCTGCACTCTCCCACCCTGCTGTCCTCTTACACCACAGACTCGGCCATCCCAACTTCACCGCCCTTCGCACCACAGTCACCTCTCGCCTCCTCCGCAGCCTTCCTCCCGTCTTACCTCCCCTCCCCTCCTCCCCCTCTCCCCCATGCCCTTCATGCATTCACGGCAAGCTCAAACAGTCCCCACACCACAGTCATCCCACCTTCGCCGCTGCCCCCATTGACCTTGTGCACATGGACCTCTGGGGCCCCTATCCCATCCGCTCCCGCCAGGGGCATCGATACATGCTCGTCCTCGTTGACGACCACAGCCGCTACTCCACCACCTTCTTCCTTCACACGAAAGACCAGGTGCCGGCAGTGGTCATCAACTGGGCCGAACAGTGCCGCAATCACTGCAAACGCCCCATCGGTCGCCTTCACTCTGATGGTGGGGGTGAGTTCATAAACAACACTCTTGCCACATACTGCGCCACCTACGGCATCCAAAAGACCTCCACCCTTCCCCACTCCCCTCAGCAGAACGGCATTGCTGAAAGCCGCATTCGTGAGATCACCAAGATTGCTCGCTGTCTCATTGCTCATGCCTCCACCCCTCCTTCCCTCTGGAGCTATGCCCTCCTCCACGCCGCCCTTCTCCTTAATCTCCGCTCCCACCCTCAGCATCCTTCCTCCTCCCCTACAGAGCTTTGGTCCAACACCAAACCCGACGCTGCAGGCCTTCGCGTTTGGGGCTGCAAGGCCTTCGTTCTTATCCCACCCGCCGACCGCTCCCACGCCGCTGGCAAACTTGCTCCTCGCGCCCTGGAATGCGTTTACCTTGGTCACAATCGCGACTCCCCAGGCTACCTCTTCCTCCACCCTCCCACCAATCGCCTCATCCGCAGCAGCGACGTCGTCTTCGACGAATCTATCCCCTATTACTCCGCTCCTCCCCCTGATCCCCTCCCTCCTCCCACTCGTCCTCTTACTTGGACCGACACCGTCCTCCCGCCCCTTCTCCCTCCAGCCCCTCTCCTCCCACCCGTCGCAGCTCCGCTCCCGCCCTCCTCCTCCGCCGATGTCTACGACCCTGACGCACCCGCCTCCCCCGCTCACTCGGCCGCACCCCCTCCCCCCCCCTCCCTCCCCCTCTCCCTCTCCCTCCTTCCAGCAGCCGGATCATCAGCAGTAGCAGCAGCAGCAGCAGCAACAGGGACAGCAGCCGGGGCAGCAGCAGCAGCAGCAGCAGCCGGGACAGCAGCAGCAGCAGCAGCCAGTCCAGCAGCAGCAGCAGCAGCCGGGACAGCAGCAACAGCAGCAGCGGCAGCCGGGACCGCAGCAGCAGCAGCAGCCTCAGCAGCCGCAGCACCATCACGGTCAGCCGCAGCCGCAGCTACATGGGCAGCAGCTTCAGCAGCACCAACGGCAGCAGCGGCGTCGAGCCACCTCCCGTTCCTCCCCCTTCCTCCTCCCTTACATCCATACCCGCTCTGTGGACAAAATCCTTGGGGCTCCTCCTCCTGCCTCCATTCAGCTCCTTGAGGACTCCCATGAGGAGTTTCTTAACATTCGGGAGCACACTCCATTCCTTGCCGCCCTCTACCTTGACTTCCTGGGCTTTCCCGTCCTTGGCGCCACCACTACCCCCACCATCTTCACCCCCTCCACCTTCCAGGAAGCCATCACCTGCCCTGATGCGGATAAATGGATGGCAGCGATCTTCCTGGAGTGTGAGGCATTCATTCGCAACGACTCCTTTGTCGATGTCCCTCTTCCTGCTGGCGCCAATCTCGTCGACGGCAAATGGGTCTTTCGGGTGAAGCAGCTGCCGGGTGAGGAACCAGTGTACAAAGCCCGCTACTGCGCCAAGGGGTTCACGCAGACTTGGGCTGAGGACTACTGGTTCACCTATGCCCCCACCGCCAAACAACCCACCCTCCGCGCCGCCATGGACATTGGTGCGCGTGACGACATGGAAATCGACTCCATGGACGTCTCCAATGCGTTCCTGCAGGGTGACCTGCATGAGCGCATTTTCCTCCAGCGGCCCCCCGGGTTCCACGCAGCCTTTCCTGAGAACACTGTCTGGCAGCTGCGTCGCCCTGTCTACGGCTTGAAGCAGGCGCCGCGTGAGTGGCATGCGAAGCTGGCTGCCACCTTGGGGTCTCTTGGCTTCTCTCCTTCCCACTCCGACGCCAGCCTCTTCATCCGTTCCTCCCCCCGCCGCTTCTTCATTCTGGTCTATGTCGACGACATGATCCTGCTCTCTGACACCAAGGCCGACATGAAGCAGGTGAAGCTGTCTCTGCAGCAACGGCTCAAGTGCAAGGACCTTGGCGCCCTCACTAACTACCTCGGTATGACCATCACGCGCAACCGCCCTGCTCGCACAATCACCCTCTCCCAGTCCCATTACATCGGCCAGGTCTTAGAGAAGTTCGACATGACGCAGGCCAAGCCTGTTTCCACCCCGCTCCCCTTTGGTCACCAGCTCGCTCCACCCACCTCCCCCACCTCCTCCACCCACCCCTATGCCGAGCTCGTTGGGTCCTTGATGTACGCAATGATGTGCACCCGCCCCGACCTCGCCTACCCCATCAGCGTGCTCGCTCGCTTTGTCGGCACCGGTCGTCACTCTGAGGAACACTGGAAAGCTGCCAAACGAGTCCTCCGCTACCTTCGCGGGACCAGGGACCTTGCCCTCACCCTCGGCGGCCCTTCCCGTCCCCTTCTCTCGGGCTTCAGTGACTCTTCCTGGGCCGACTCGCAGCCGGACCGCCGCTCCTCCCAGGGCTACGGCTTCACCCTTGGCAGCGGCCTCGTCAGCTGGCGCTCCACCCGCTCCTCCGCCATCTCTCTCTCCACTTGCGAAGCAGAGCTCTACGCCGGCACCATGGCCGCCCAGGAGTCGCGCTGGCTCTGCTTCCTTCTTGCAGAGCTTGGCGCCCCCCAGACATGCCCCACTCTCTGGTGCGACAACGCCAGCACCATCCACCTCACTCAGGACCCCGTCTATCACGCCCGCTCCAAGCACATCGAACTCCGCTACTTCTTCGTTCGCGAGCTCGTCCAGAAGGGCCTCATTGCCGTTCGCAAGATTGCGTCCGAGGCCAACTTGGCCGACATCTTCACTAAGGCCCTCCTTCGCCCCGCGCACTCTGCTTTCCTCCGCCTCATTGGCCTTACTCGCCCGGGCGCCCCTTGATTCAGGGGTTGTTCTCTTCTTGTGTTAGCATGCTAAGGGGTTGTGTTAAAATACATTGTGTAGCATGCCAACACATGTGACTGTACACCAATTGTGGTGTACAGTTGGGTTGGGACTACACCCAACTTTGGGTGTAGTCTTGCACTTTGGGGTGCCAATCCACCCAATTGTGGTGGAGCCCCCAAATGCAACCCTCTTGACTTGTGGGTACCTCACTTCCCACAATTGAGGCTTCCCCAAGCCAAGTGGGCCTAGGGTTGCCTCACTTCTACAAAGTGTGGGCAACCCAACCCACTTGACCAATGGTTCCCTCACTTCCCAAAGTGAGGTCAACCCAACCTATGGTCACTTTGATCCTTCTCTTCCACTCTCCCCTTCCAACCTTCTCTTCCAAACTATGTATGCTAGGTTGTGACTCTAATTCAATGACTTGTTCAATCCACAATCTTCACAATTTAGGCCAAAAAAAAAAATTGTTCGGTTCGCCTGGAACGTGTTCGAGGCGAACCGAACAGGTGTTCGTCATATTGCTCATCCCTAGTCGTACTCGTCGATAAGAATGACGTCGGCAAGATTGAGATGAAATGAAAGCTAGAAATGTTGAGTTACCAGCTGGGCTGGCTGGTAAGCACTGTGGGGTTTGTTGGGGGGGTGGTTCTTGACGGGTTGGAGTTCGTAGATGGGATGGGTTTTAGTGCGGTACTGATCTTAGATTCGACATTTGGATTCCCAGACACGCCTGCAAACTTCGAAGTCACATTTTGGCTTACCTAGACCACCGATTAGCATTTTGATTTCCGAGAATTGCTTAGAAAATAAATCCGCTCCTTTTACGCAAATTGTTTTCAGGCACCCTTAATTTTTTTCGACGCGTATGTGCTTGCTCGGGGAAGCCAAGTACCACAGACAGGGAGGAGGGGAAAGGGGGATGGGCCATTAGGCTAACCCTAATGTAGTGATTTCATTAACCTGGCTTAGACACTGGCCAGACTGTCACAACTTGACATTCACATTGCCCAACCCCTCCCGTCCAGTCAACAACCCCCAATTGCACCTCACCGCATTCCCTCTATCTAATCCAACGTTTCCTTTCTACACAGAAGTGCTACAGGTTTTCCCTCCTGCTCAAATACATGTTGCTATGCTCCTTACAATGTTGCCTGCTCATCCTCTCGCTTTGAAATCTGCCACCCTTCACAATGTTCTTACTCAAGCCAATCTAGATGACATTGGCACCAAGCCTTTGCTCTGTGATTCTTTTCTTCGCATCCATGATCTTTTCGGTCTCACCCATGTCTCCTCTTGAACGAGCCTGTTGACCACTAATTG